TTTTTAGCGTTTTCTGCTACTATCAAATATGATTCTCTGTCATCCACTAATCTAAATGTACATGTATCTTTTACATAATAACTCCAAAATACAGTAGGCAATCTCCTGCTAAGAAATTTCAGCAAAATCCTCCACACAAACACTGCAAATCCTTATGTTTGTTTTATTTTTCACATAATGAACATTATGAGCATTGAAGTGAATAACATTGATTATCTAGTTACAATGACACCTGGAAGTGGGAGGGATATATTAGGCAACAAGTCAGCATTTTGTTCCTGAAGCTGATGAGTTGGAAGCATAAAAAATTGGCAAAAATTTAAACGACTTTGACCAGGGCCAAAATGTACAGTAATGGCTAGACGACTGGGTCAAATCAACTCCAAAACTGAAGCTCTTGTGAGATGTTCCCAGTCTGCAGTGCTCAGGACTTAATAAAAGTGGCCCAAGGAAGGAAAACTGATGAACCGTGACAAGGCCATAGGCGGCCACGGCTCATTGATGCACATGGAAGCCCCTGTAGTTCAATCCACTAGATGAGCTATTGTAGCTCAAATTGATGAAAAAGTTAATGCTGGTTCTGATGGAAAGGTGTCTGAACATTCAGTGTATCGCAGTTTGTAATGTATAGGGCTACGTAGCCGCAGACCTGTCAGAGTGCCCATACTGACACCCTGTCCACTGCCAAAAGCACCCACAATGGGCACGTGAGCATTAAAACTGGACCATGGAGCAAGGAAGAATGTGGCCTAGTCTGATGAATCATGTTTTATTTTACATCATGTCGATGGCCAGATGCGTGTGTGTCGCTTACCTGGGGAAGATATGGCACTAGGATGCACTATGGAAAGAAGGCCAGTTTGATGCTTTAGCAATGATCTGCTGGGAAACCTTGGGTCCTGCCATGCTTGTGGAGGTTACTTTGACACGTACCACCTATTTAAACATTGTTGCTAACCAAATACACACCTACATTAAAATGCTATTCCCTGATGGCAGTGGCCTCTTTCAGCAGGATAATGCACCCTGCCGGAATGGTATGAGGAACACAACAATGAGATTGAGGTGTTGACTTTGCCTCCAAATTCTCCAGATCTCAATTCAATTGAAAATGTTTGGGATTTGCTGGAAAAGCAAGTCCGATCCAAGGAGGCCCTGCCTTACAAAATGCAGGACTTAAAGGATCTGCTACTGACGGCTTGGTGCCAGATGCCACAGCATACCTTCAGAGGTCTAGTGGAGTCCCTGCCTCGATGGGTCAGGTCTGGTTTGGCGTGGGTGGTCATAATGTCATGACTGATCAATATATATATACATATATATACTGTATATATAT